GGGGGACACCCCCCCAACCGGGGGGCGCTCCGCGGGACCACCGGCTGCCACTCCCGCGGGGACGCCCCCGGGACGCCGCTCCTCAGTGGGGTTGAGCAGAGCCCGGCACCGGGGGGGCACCGGCGGAGCAGTGCGGGGGGGTCGGGAGTTGGGGTGGTCCCGGTACCCTCGGGGGATGTCCCCCAGCCCCGCACGGGGCGAGGTCGGGCAGGAGCGGCCCCCCGGGACACCGTGGACAAAGTGGCAGCTGCCGGGGCCGGGCCGGGCCGGGGCGGCTCTTTGTGCTGCGAAATGGTGGAGCTGGAAGTGCGCGGGGGGGCGGCGGGAACGACGGGGACTGGGACAGACAGACGGACACGGCACCAGCATCTGTCACCCCCCGGGCTGTCCCTGCAGCAGAGGGAGGAGGGGGTTTTTCCCCCTCTCCTGGAGACCCCACAGGACAAAGGGGAGCACCCAGGGCTGGGGGTCCCTGCAGTGGAGCAGAACCCAGCACAACCCCCCACGGAGGGGATCCTGGGGGAGCCCCAGGGTGGGGGGCTCAGAGGACTTGGATCCCTGCAGCCCCCCGAGAGCAGCAGCCACTGCACACAAAGCCTGCAGACGTTTTCACTGATGTTTTATTGGAAATGTTAAATACTGGGGGTCCGGCCCCAGCGGAGCCGGGGGTGCTCAGGGGGGCTCCGGGGGGGCTCAGGCGTGTTCCTCTGCCAGCTTCTCTGCCTTGGCCACCGCCTCCTCGATGGGCCCCACCATGTAGAAAGCCTGCTCAGGCAGGTGGTCATATTCACCTGTGGGGACACAACGTGTCAGGGGGGAGCGGGATGCCCAGCCGGGCTCCCCCAGACCCCCAGAGGGACACCTCACCTGCCAGGATCTGCTTGAAGCCCTTGATGGTCTCTTTGAGTGGCACCAACTTGCCCATGTGGCCGGTGAAGACCTCGGCCACCTGGAAGGGCTGGGACAGGAAGCGCTGGATCTTGCGGGCGCGGGCCACGGTCAGTTTGTCCTCCTCAGACAACTCATCCATGCCCAGGATGGCGATGATGTCCTGCAGTGACTTGTAGTCCTGGGGAGGGGGACACAGGGGGTGAGCGGCCAGAGCTGATCCCCCACCTCAGCCACCCCACGAGGAGGGGATGCCCCAGCCCCCTCACCTGAAGGATCTTCTGCACACCCCGAGCCACGTCGTAGTGCTCGGGCCCCACGATGTTGGGGTCCATGATGCGGGACGTGGAGTCCAGGGGGTCCACGGCCGGGTAGATGCCCAGCTCAGCAATGGCACGGGACAACACCGTGGTGGCATCCAAGTGGGCAAAGGTGGTGGCAGGTGCAGGGTCAGTCAAGTCGTCAGCAGGCACATAAATAGCCTGGGGACACAGAGAGGGGACACTTGGTCTTGTGTAGGTGACACAGCTCCCCAGGACCCTGAGGTTGGTCCTGCCCTCACCTGCACGGAGGTGATGGAGCCCTTGCGTGTGGTGGTGATACGCTCCTGCATGGTGCCCATGTCAGTGGCCAGCGTGGGCTGGTAGCCCACAGCAGAGGGGATTCTGCCCAGCAGGGCTGACACCTGTGAGGGGACAGAGCGTGAGGGACACAGCACGAGGGGCTGGGCGGGGGGGGACAGGTGAACTGCCCTGTGCCAGCACAGACCTCGGAGCCAGCCTGGGTGAAGCGGAAGATGTTGTCGATGAAGAGCAGCACGTCCTGACCCTCCTGGTCCCTGAAGTACTCGGCCACCGTCAGCCCCGTCAGGGCCACCCTGGCACGGGCGCCCGGGGGCTCGTTCATCTGCCCGTAGACCAGGGCGACCTGCGGGTGGGACCTTGGGGTCAGCACGGTGTCACTGCCACGCCTGGCACTGCGTCAGGGGACTCAGAACCTCCCCAGGAGACCCTCCCTCAGGGTCTCTGCACACCTTGGAAGTGGCATCTTTGAGGTTGATGACCCCAGACTCAATCATCTCGTGGTACAAGTCGTTGCCCTCGCGGGTCCTCTCGCCCACGCCGGCAAACACAGAGTAACCACCATGGGCCTTGGCCACGTTGTTGATCAGCTCCATGATCAGCACAGTCTTGCCCACACCAGCACCTCCAAACAAACCTGGGAGGGGGGGAAAAAAGTGTCCTGCTGAGCCCCAAGCCAGCCCGGCTGTTCCCAAGGTCTCCCTTCAGCTCTTTCCTCCTCAGATAAAAAAAGCGTTGCTTCAGCAAGCTCAGGAGAACGAAAGTCATGGAGTGGATCATCAGTGAAGGAAAAGCTCCCCAAAGGAACTGCTGGAAACCCCAGAGGCACCATCAGGTGCCCACTCCCCAGACCCACCCCTGCTCTGGGGGTCACGTACCGATCTTGCCACCCTTGGCGTAGGGAGCCAGCAGATCCACGACCTTGATCCCTGTCACCAGGATCTCCTGCTCCACACTCATCTCCACGAACTCAGGGGCCTCGGCGTGGATAGCAGCAAACCTGGAGCAGGAAGAGGAGAGGGAGGGGGTGGGCAGCTGCTCTGAGCCCCCCAGCTTGGGGGCTGGCAGGGGACAGTCCCTGCTGTGACCCAGAAGAGCCAGAGCCACCTCCCTGCTCACACATGGGGTGTCCCCCAGCTCCTCAGCACTCACTGTTTGGTCGTGATGGGACCCCTCTCGTCGATGGGTTCCCCAATGACATTCATGATCCTGCCCAGGGTCTCGGGGCCCACGGGGATGCGGATGGGAGCACCAGAGTCCAGCACCTTCTGTCCCCTCACCAGCCCTTCCGTGCCGTCCATGGCGATGGTGCGCACGGTGTTCTCCCCTGCCGAGGCCCAAGGACAGCACAGTCACCACAGCGTCCTCAGGCTGACCCTGGGGACAGCTGCTGCTGGCTTCCCCAGGCCCTGCCAAGGGGACATTCTGCTGGGAGAAGGACCAAGAGGAGCAGCAAAAATAAAATAGCCCTGAGGAAAACTGAGCCGTGCAGCCGCAGCCCTCGGGCAGCCATTTTCCACCTCCTCCTCAGATCGAAATCCGTGGCTTCAGCAAGCTCAGGAGAACGAAAGTCATTGGCAACATCATCACAGGAGGACCCCTCCCCGTGCCAGCTGCTCACCCAGGTGCTGAGCCACCTCCAACACCAGCCGCGTCTCCCTGCCCTGCACCTCAAGGGCGTTCAGGATGGGGGGCAGCCCCTCGTCGAACTGCACATCCACCACGGCCCCGATGACGGCCACGATGCGGCCGGTGGAGGAGCCGGCCTTGGCGGCAGGGGCTGCCTGGGCGGCATAGTCCCGTCCTGGGGGGGAAGAGGGACGAGTCAAGGTCGGCCGGGACAGGGCAGCTCCGGGCTCCGTGAAGGATTTGGGGGTGCGGAGATGGGGCTCCCCTGCAGGCCTTGGGGTGTGCCCGGGACCCCTGAACCTCCCTGGGTGCACCCAGGACGCCCTGAACCCCCTTCCTCAGCGCACCCTGGATCCCCACACCCCGCTCCGTGCACCACTGACCCACCCAGACCCCTCCTCAGCGCACCCGGGACCTCCACACCCCGGCACCCCCTCAGCGCTGCCAGGACCCCCTGAGCCCCCTCCCCTCAGCGCTGCCANNCCAACATGGCGGCGCCAACTGAGCCCCGCGTCCCGCCCGCCCCTCACGGCCCCCGCGGGGCGGGGCCGCCGGGCCGCGCGTCACCGCCGCACCGCGCTCCCATTGGTTACTCCGCGGAGAGGCGCCGCGTGAATTCGCGCTCTCATTGGTCACGCCCATACGGCGCCCGCTCTGCGCCTCGTCGCGATTGGGTTGTGGATCTGTCCGTCAAAACGCGCTGCGGTCTGATAGGGCGGTGTGTGGGAAGGGGCGTGTCCCAAGCGAAGGTCAGCGGAAGTGGCGGCGCACGTGTCCCGCGCTTGTCCTTGGGCGGGCGCCGTGACCGCGGCCGAGGCCGCACCGGGCCCGCACCGGGCCCTCCTCCAGCCCGTGCGCCTTTTGCTCCACCCCGCGTCACGGCACCGCCCCGAGGGGCCGCCTCTCACCGGGCCCGTGTCCGCCTCACGGCCCCGGTGTCACTGTAATGCCCCCGGGGCCGCCCGGTGCACCGGCCCTGCCTTCTCCCCCAGGCGCAAACCGCAGCCCGTCGGTCCCCCCGGGATCTGGGGAGCACCGCACCATTTCTCCCGTGCCCGCCAAGGGATGGGATCCCTCCCTCCTGCTTCCCCAGCTGAGGGGAACCTGCCCCGCTGAGCACGCTTGTCCCACTGGGGGGGGGATCCCATCCTGCTGAGCCCCCCAGATGGGGGATCCCACCCCACTGAACCCCCAAAAAACGGGATCCCACTCCACTGAACCCCAATAGAAGGTGATCCCACCCCACTGAGCCCCACAGAAGGGAATCCCACTCAAATGAACCCCCCAAAAAAGGGGATCCCACCCCACTGACCCTCCAAAATAAGGGGATCCCACCCTACTGACCCTCCAAAAATAGGGGATCCCACCCCACTGAACCCCAATAGAAGGGGATCCCACTCTATTGCATCCCCTATAGAAGGGGATCCCACCCCACAGAACCCCCCAAAAAAAGGGATCCCACCCCAAGTGCCTCCCCACAGAAGGGAATCCCACCCAACTGAGCCCCCCATAGAGGGGGATCCCACTCCACTGATCCCCCCTTAAAAAGGGATCCCACTCTACTGATCCCCACAGAAGGGATCCCACCCTACTGAATGCCCCCAAAAAAAGGGGATCCCACCCCAGTGACCCCCCCACAGGAGATCCCACCCTACTGAACCCCCCAAAGAGAAGGGGAACCACCCCAAAAAAGGGGATTCCACCTTGCTGACCCCCCAGAGAAGATCCCACCCCACTGAACCCCCCAAAAAAGGGGATCCCACCCCAAAAAAGGGGATCCCACTTTGCTGACCCCCCAGAGAAGATCCCACCCCACTGAACTCCCCAAAAAAGGGGATCCCACCCCATTGAACCCCCCCAAAGAAGGGGATCCCACCTTGCTGCCACCCTCCCCCCAACCAGCAAAGAGCTGCTGCTCCCAAATCTGAATTTTGGGGAGCTCAGTGAGCCCAAATCTGGATTTTGAGGAGCTCAGTGAGCCCAAATCTGGATTTTGAGGAGCTCAGTGTGGCCTCAGTGCAGACCCCAGCCACTGCAGAGGGACACACACACCACACTGGTGTCCCCAGCAGTGCTGAGAGGGGAGGGAAAGGGCCTCCCCAGGTGACATCACCTGTGCAAAGAAAGTTTGGGGCTATTTAAGCCCTTTTTAGTGCTGAGGGGTGAGTGCAGGACCTGCAGGTGTTCACTACACCCACATACTCACATCATCTGCCCCATCTACTTCTGGCAAGTCTACGTCGTCGTCTCCTCCCATGTTGTTCATCATCTGCTCAGAGACAGAACAGGCACATTTTGGGGTGAATCCAACCCCACTCACACCCAAAACAATCCTAAACCAACACCCCCCCTTGCTTTAACAGGGCAAGCAGGAATTACAAAGTGGTGGTGCACAAAAAGTTCGGATCCATTGCCTGGCAGCTCCCAAAACTCCAGGAATTTTTCATTTCCTACCTCAGAAAAGCGATCAAAATTGGACATGTCTTCATCTGAATCATCTTCCCAGTCTTTCCAGTTGTTGAAGTCCACGCTGAGCCAGTTGAGCTGCAGCAACAGCAGGAGTTATTTCAGGACAAGGAATTATTTAAGGACAAGGAAGTTAAGTGGCTGTCAGTTAGAACAGGTTAACGAGAGCTGCCGTGGGATCAGGAGCAGGAAAATGACCCAAAACTGCTCCAGAATTTGAACATGACCCAAATATTCACTAAATGAAAAGCCAGGGGAGGCAGCAGATGCCCAGACCCACCTTTGCCCTCTCTTTTGTTAACCTTGGCCATGCCTGACCAGACTCTCCTTTTCGTAAACAACACAAGATGGATCTGTCTGTTCTTTTATGCTTTGATTCCTGAAAAAGACCAAATATCCATTAGTGCCATCAGGATGACCTTCACCAGGAACTGCTGACACCCTTCCTTTATCTTCACCTCTTCCCTTATTCCTTGTCCTGGAAAATACCACCCAGAGAAGCTTTCCTGGATCTGACTTGGAGCTTTGATGTTCTAAGAAATCATTTTCCTTAGAAAATAGTTCATATTTCTATCTTTAAGGAATAAAATCTTGGGAGCAGCCTAAAGCACAGGTGGTTTTTTTTTAGGATAACAGAACCAAGGGATGGTTTGGGTTGGAAAGGACATTAAAAGCCAAGTTCCAAACCCCTGCCATGGGCAGGGACACGTTCCACCAGCCCAGGTTGCTCCAACATGGCCTTGAACAATTCCAGGGATGGAATATCTGCAATTTCTCTGTGCCAGCCCCTCACCAGAATCAAGAACTCAAGAGGATACTCACATTTGGATCGATATTATTAAAAAGATCGATTTCATTTAAATGTTTAAAGTTATCACTTCCTCCAAGACAACTGCAAGAGAAAAATAAATCAGCATTTAGCCCAAAAAACATCTCGTAGGACAAATCTGCTTCTTCTTAGCACTCCCTGTGCCTGAATTACTCACCTGAACGTGAGTTTGGACTTTTCAAAATTTACATTTACGTCTTTGCTGTCTTCAACACAGAACTCAATGAAGACGTAGTCCCTCCGGTCGTACCACTTTGCAGAGGCAGGCTGCCTGTGGGCACAGCAGGAACACAAGGGAATCGATTTTCAACAAGAAATCCAACAAAAAAAACCTTCCTTCTGAGTTTAAAACCTACGTTTTGAGCTTACTGTTATTTTTTAGAGGTGATTTAAGCTGAAAGGAGAGAGGTGGAATAAAAAGAAATGATGGATTTGGAGTGTGATGCCCCCAGAAAGCTCCTGGGAGGAGATTTCACTGAAATCTGAGACTGAAATAAACGTTTCAGCTGATCAAAATTTTGATAAACTTCAAGATGAGCTACCACAGACTGTGGCAGCAGCTCCACCACCTGCACGGGCAGGCTTCAGAGTGGTTTTTGTCACACAAAGAGTTAAAACCCAAAGCAAAAATTTTAAAAAACCAACATGTTTTGGGGGTATTGATACGATGATTTGCTATGATTAAGACCCAATTAAGGGTCTCAATGGGACCCTTAATGGATTTGCTATGATTAACACCCAATTAAGCCAGCACAGGCTGGAGAATCACTGCTCCAAGCTCTTTACAGCCTCCCCAAGCCCTCACTCTGGGACTCCCATGCACTTTGGAATAAATCTGCCTTTGCACAACCACCTCAAAAATCAACAGCGTGTCCAGGGGAGCTGGGAAAGCCACAGAGCTCCAGAGCAACTCCTGTGTTTGCAGAGAACTCACCTGCACTGCTCAGTGGAGCAGGGAAAATGTCCTGGCTGGGCTCCCTCCCCCTTCCAGCCCTCCCCTGGCAACCGAGGCCCAGCCCAGGGAACGGCTGCATTCCAGAAGCAAAGTGCCTCCCAGCAGGGCTGCTGCACAGGCACAGAGCCCAGGGGTGTTCCTCACACTCCTTTGTCTTCCCAGGGAATGGTGGAATGCTTGGGAGGGACCCTAAAGTTCAGCCAGTGTCACCCCCTGCCATGGCAGGGATGTCTTTCCTTGTCCAGCCTGGCCTTGGATACTTCCAGGGATGGGGAATCCATTCCAGGGCCTCACCAGGAAGGTATTTCATCTCGATATTCCATCTTAATCTCTTCTGGAACATTATCTCCCCCTTTATCTGCCATTCCTGTGCCTCGACAGCATCACAGGGAGGAGTTTTTCCCAGCTGATGGCCCTGGGATGAGGTGGACAAGGATCTACACCAGGGAACGTGGCCTGTGACAGCCACCTCACCAAGGTGAGGCCCTTTGTGCTGCTCTCTAAGCCAAAATCTGACCAAAAAATAACTTTTCAGACCATTTGCTGAACTTCCAGATCAAGGTTTTGACTCACCCGATCATCAATTAATTGCTGGCATTGAGCTGTGGCACATTCAGCAAAGGGACTCACCCCAAAGTTCCTGCTGCTCCCATCCTCATTTCCCAGGGATGAACCCAGGCATGGCACAGCCCAGCTCCAGCTGAACCCCAAACCAGCCACCCGTGACTCCCCCAGTGCCACAGGTCCTGGGCACACTGGTGCCAGCTCAGGGAAAAGCTGCAGAATGGCCACGATGCCTCGGGCAGCTCAAACCTCTTGTAGGTGCCACAGCACCTGGGCAGGGACCAATGTCCAAGGATTTAATTTCCAAAAAAGTGGATTCTGAGTTCAGCCTTCTGAGTTTCAGCTCTTCCAGGGGTGAAAACCTGCTGCTTTCCCTCAGGGAAAAGCTGCAGAATGGCCACGATGCCTCGGGCAGCTCAAACCTCTTGTAGGTGCCACAGCACCTGGGCAGGGACCAATGTCCAAGGATTTAATATCCAAAAAAGTGGATTCTGAGTTCAGCCTTCTGAGTTTCAGCTGTTCCAGGGGTGAAAACCTGCTGCTTTCCCTCGTAGCAGCATTTCAGGGAATGTTAATTATCACCTTATTCAGGTGAAGTGCAGCAGCAGAGCAGCAATTTTCTTACTGTGGTATTTTTAAACCCTTCTTGGACACAGATTTTCCTCTTTTAACGGGAAATGAAAGACTCTCAAGAGGAAAGGAGGATGAGAAATGCCCTGCTCTGCTCCCTCTGTGCTGGGAGACAAAACCCCCCCAGCGTGGGGCACTTGGAACATCACTCCAGCCCTGTTATTAACAGAAATCTCAGTGTCCCTGCCCGGGTGATGCAGGGCTGGATGCTGTTAACACTTCCCAGCTCCCAGTGTCAATGGAGACATCTCCAGCCTTCCCAGGGAGGCTCCTGGCCGTGACCTCAGCAGCTCTGCCAGGATTGGGGATTTGAGGCAGCAACAGAGCTCACAGGGCTCCCAGAAATCCCACTCAGCTCAAGGCTACACACACAGCTCTGAGCTGGAGAGCAGTGAGATCCCAGGTGAGCTTTACTCAGCCATAATTCACATTTCTGAACCTAAACCTGTGCTGTTTTCCTGGGAATCCACCCTGAGAGTGCTCAGAACCCACGACCCTGGCAGTTCCACCAGGACTGGCGATTTGAGGCACCAACAGAACTCACAGGGCTCCCAGAAACCCCACTCAGCTCACATGCCTGAGCTGCAGAGCAGAGATCCAAGATAAATCTGACATTTCTGAACCTAAACCTGTGCTGCTTCCCTGGGAATTCACCCTGAGAGTGCCTGGAGCCCGTGACCTCAGCAGCTCCACCAGGATTGGGGATTTGAGGCACCAACAGAACTCAGCACTCCCAGAAACCCCACTCAGCTCACATGTCTGAGCTGGACAGCAGCAAGACCCCAGATGAATTTTACTCAGCCATAATTCACATTTCTGAACCTAAACCTGCGCTGCTTTCCTGAGAATTCACCCTGAGAGTGCTCAGAACCCCTGACCTCAGCAGCTCCACCAGGACTGGGGATTTGAGGCACCAACAGAACTCAGCACTCCCAGAAACCCCACTCAGCTCAAGGCAACACACACACCTCCAAGGGAGAGATCCCAGATGAGTTTTATCTGGCCATATTTCACATTTCTGAACCTAAACCTGCCCTGACTTCCCAGGAATTCACCCTGAGAGTGCTTGGAACCTGTGACCTCCCAAAAATCCCACTCAGCCCAAGGCTACACACACACCTCCGAGCTGGACAGCAGCAAGATCCCAGATGAGTTTTTTCTGGCCATATTTCACATTTCTGAACCTAAACCTGCCCTGATTTCCCAGGAATTCACCCTGAGAGTGACTGGAACCTGTGACCTCCCAGAAATCCCACTCAGCTCAAGGCTACACACACACCTCTGAGCTGCAGAGCAGAGGGATCCCTGATCAGTCTGGCTCTGCCAAATTCTGGCTCCAGGTTTCTAGAACTTAATTTTCCCAATTCCAGGTTTCTGAGCCTAAACCTGCGCTGCTTTCCTGGGAATTAACCCCAAGAGTGCTGGGAACCCATGACCTCAGCAGCTCCATGAGGACTGGGGATTTGAGGCACCAACAGAACTCAGCACTCCCAGAAACCCCACTCAGCTCAAGGCAACACACACACCTCCAAGGGAGAGATCCCAGATGAGTTTTATCTGGCCATATTTCACATTTCTGAACCTAAACCTGCCCTGACTTCCCAGGAATTCACCCTGAGAGTGCTTGGAACCTGTGACCTCCCAAAAATCCCACTCAGCCCAAGGCTACACACACACCTCCAAGGGAGAGATCCCAGATGAATTTTATTTGGCCATAATTCTGGTTCCAGGTTTCTAGAACTTAATTTTCCCAATTCCAGGTTTCTGAGCCTAAACCTGCCTTGCTTTCCCAAGAATTCACCCCGAGAGTGCTCGGAACGTGCTGGAGCTGCCTCTCCTCCTTTTATCTGCTTTTCCAATCTCATCCTCCCAAAGGGAGGAGGGAAACCTCCCTGTGAGCTTCAGTCAGGACTCACCAGCTCCAACCAGTAAGGCAGGACCTGCTGGAGAGCTGGGATGAGGAGGAAGCCACAGCTCCTTTTTGTCTCCTGCCCACACGGAGATTCCCAGGAGACAACCACAGGCAGCAGCAGCCCCTGGGGAGCTGTGCACGTGCTCCCACACACCTGGAAAAATCTCCTTTCACAGGCACTGACCCATCACCTGTTAGAGCTCCATCCTGCTCACCCAAACCCCGAGGGAGACCAACCTCTTGCTGAGGGTTTTTTTTTGGAAAAGAGAAGAATTTAAACGTTTAAAAGGGAATTTAGAACTCCCAGCAGTCCATTCCAGGGAGGATTTCCTCTGTCCCATCCACCTGTGCTTTGGGGACTTCCTGAGCAGCCACAGCCACCCCTGCAGCTCCTCTGGCTCTCCCAGTCCCCACATTCCCACGGCAATTGTTATTCCAGCAATGTGGAACAGGTTCTAGAAGCTTCCCAGCAGCACTGATGGGCAATGTGGAGGCTCAGCTTCACCACAGAGCCCTGCCTGACCCAGGGGGGCTCTGTTGGATACCCCTGGATATATCCTGGTCTCTGGCACCAGTGGAATCTCAAATCTCTCCATCTGTGGCACTGAGGAAGTTCCCAAACCTGTTCTTGTGGTCTCTGTCTCTATCCTGTGCCTGTGGAATCCCATTTTTATCTCCTGGAAGTATCCTGACAGTTCCTGCAGAAATCAGGACCTCAACAAGATTTTTCCCCTCCCAGGCAGCAATAAAACCTGTTTTATAAAATGACTTTTCCTTTAATTTTTACACCTTTTTTTTTCATTAAAAACCCCTCATTTTAGATTTTAGACCATTCTATGCAGATGCAGCAGCGCTGCAGTTTCAGGATGATGAAATCTACAGAAATGACACGAAAAAACTCCAACTTGATCACAGCTCTCTCACTTTCACTCACGTTAAGATGAAGCACCTCAACTGTTCAAGGTTTCAGAAGAAAAGTAAAAGCCTGGCTGGGGACAAGGGACCAAAAACCCAGTGGTTAACGCTGTCCTCAGCCTGAATTCCTGACAAAACAAAACCTCAGGAGGTGCTGCTGCCTCCAGTCCTGCCAGCCAGGCACGTGGAGGTCACAGAATCGTGGGATGGTTTGGGTTGGAAGGGACCCTGAAGCTCATTCAGCCCCCTCAACTCTCCCAGGACACCTCCAGGGATGGGACATCCTCTGGAAAATCCATTCCAGTGCCTCAGCACCCTCAGAGGGAGGGATTTTTTCTCCCAAAATCCCACCTAATCCCATCTCTGGTGGTTGGAAGCCCTTGTTCTGCCGCTGGAGATGTGGGAATGCTGCTTGCAGCTCTACTTTCCCAGCCAGTTTTTCCCTCTTGAGTGTCACCCTGGACACATAAAACACAGAATCTTCTTGAGGGAACGCTCACGTCCCCCAGGGCTGGCTTTGGGTGGCCCCCAAAATGAATTCTTTGGAGAATTCCAAGGAAAGAGATGAATTGGGGAGCGCGGGATGCACGTGGAGACTCTCGGGGAGGAGATGCAGCGGCTCACCTGCAGCACCACGCCTGCCCCGGGGCTTTCCGTGCTCCTCCACCCCCTCCTGAGGGGCCTTTTCGTTATTCCTCGGTTTTTCACGGAATTCTGGAACGGTTTGGGCTGGAAAAAAAACCTTAAAGCCCATCCCGTTCCACCGGACCGGGCTGTTCCAAGCCCTGTCCAGCCTGGCCTTGGACGCTTTCAGGGACAGCGCAAAACGCGGGGATGGATTTTAGGGGGAAAACGCCAAGTTTACAACCAGATTCTGCCGCCTGCACGCTCTGGATCGTTCCACGCCTTACTTACCGGGAGATCTGCGCGGTTTCGGCGGCTGCCGGTGGTCACCGACCCGCCGAGAAACGCGCAACAACACCCCCCGAACACCCCATTCATTCCGCCACGGGAGATCCCGCCCGCACCGCGCTACAGCGGGACCGAGCCAGCAACCGGCACCGAGCCAGCAACCGGCACCGGCGGCCGAACCGGGGCGCTCCGCCCTCACCCGGTAACCGGGGCCGGGCCCGGCCGATAAGCGGGGCAAAACCCAGCGGCGCGGGAAGGTCAGCACGCGGCGGGGGCCCGCGCTCGGTGGCGCCGGGGCGGCTCCCGCGGTAGCGCCCGCGGCCTGGCGGGGCCTGCCCGCGCCGCTCCCACATCCCCGGGCCTCACATGGCGGATGGCGACGGCTCCGGCGGGGCGCTGCTGCGGGGTGCGGCTCGAGCTGCGGGCTGTGCGGGTGGCGGTGGAGGCGGTGCCGGGAGGGTTCCGGGGGTTCCGGTGGAGGCTCCGGTGGCTCCGGGCGGGCTCGGGGCTCGGCGCGGCCTCGCTCCCACAATGCCCCGCGCGCGCTCGGCCCGTGGTGACGCAGCAAAATCCCCGCGCCCCGCGCGCGCCGCCGCCGCCGCCTCCTCCCGCCGCCGCCACCGCGCGTGCGCGGCGAGGCCCCCCCACCACCGCCCGCTGCCCTTCCAGCAGCTTCTCGGCGCGCATGCGCAGTGAGGCCCGGTTACCGGGATGGGGGTGTGGGGGGAGCGGAGCGGGAAGGGACCCCCGGGACCCCCCCCGTGTCCTTGTCCCGGTAAGCCCCGGGAGCAGATCCCGACCCTGCTCTCCCCTCAGGGAGCTGTGGGGTGAAAATTCCCCTCTGAGCCTCCTTCCCTCCAGGCAGTTCCAAAGCCTGACCACTTTTCTATGAGGAAATTCCTCCTCATGTCCATCCTGAGCCTCTCCTGGCACAGCTCGGGGCCATTTCCTCCTGTGCTGTTATTCCCTGGGAGAAGAGGCCAATTCCCACCTGGCTACAGCTACAATTTCCCCCAAAAAGCTGCAAATTCCCCCCAAAATCAGGGCAGGGCTCTGTTCCCTCTCCCCCTGGTGTTCCCTGGGAGCAGATCCTGACCCTGCTCTCCCCTCAGGGAGCTGAGGGGTGAAAATTCCCCTCTGAGCCTCCTTTTCTGCAGGCAGCTCCAAAGCCTGAGCACCTTTTATTCCTGCTGATGTCCACCCTGCCCCTCTCCTGGAGGAATTTGGGGCTGTTCCTTCTCCTCCTGCTGTTCCTGGGAGCAGATCCCGACCCTGCTCTCCCATCAAGGAGCTGTGGGGTGAAAAGGTCCCTCCTGAGGCTCCTTCCCTCCAGGCTGAGCCCTTCCCCAGCTCCCTCAGGGCTGCTCCAGCCCCTTCTCCTGCTGCTCCAGCCCTTCCCCAGCTCTGGCCACGCTCCAGCCCCTCGATGTCTCTGTGGCCAGGAGGGCCCAGGGCTGGAGCCGGCACTGGAGGGGCCCCAGCAGTGCCAGCCCAGGGGGACAATCGCTGTCCCCATGGCTGGGACAGCCCAGGTGCCATCCTGGCCACAGCTGGGCTCTGTCCAGCTGCACCCCAGGGCCTTTCCCAGCTTTCCAGCCCCTCTCCCCAGCCTGGAGTGTTCCATGGGGTTGGTGGTGTCTTGTTGACCCATTGGCCTCAGCCCATCCTGGCCAGCTGGCTCCACAGCTTCCTGCCCTCCAGCAGATCAACATCCCACCCAAACTGCTGCCATCCACAAACCAAGGTGCCCTCGATGCCAGATCATGGATAAAGACGTCACACAGGGCTGTCTGTCCCTGATGTGGCACATGTCCATCCACCACCTGGGTACAGCCCAGCTCCCCCAGCCAGGTGTGAACCCCAAGGAGCTCACCTGCCCTGAGGCTTTACTGGAGCCTTTCCCTCACCCCTGATCCCCATCCCTGCTGCAGGGCAGTGAGGAGCCCCCCTGAAGGGAACCCTGAGGGGATGAAGGGGTGACTCTGAGCTGACCTGGGCTCGTGTCCAGCCAGGCTTTGGGACAGGAAGGAAAGGAGGGAACGGGCAGGTGGCGTTCCAGGACGGGCTATCAGCACCGGGATCTTCCCGGGAGGAAGGCTCCACCCTGGGGCCATGAAGGGCGAGCAGCAAAGCACCACGGAGCAGAGATATTCACCAACAATAAGCCACAACTTTATTAACCGATAGAAATAGTACAAATTTTAAATTTAGACGTATTTTACTCTTCTCTCTGAAACACCAAAAAAGGCTCCTCCCTCCGGCGGCTACATCGTCAGTTCCTGTGGGGAGAAAGGGAGTCAGGAGCCAGCCCAGAGCCAGCAGCCCCCCCCAGGGACCCCCCAAAGCTGCTGCACCCCAGCACTCACCATTATCGCGTTTACAATGTCGTTACTGTTGTTCTTGAGGGCTCGCACGGCCTTCGCCCGCGACACGTTCGCCTGCGACATCACCAGCTCGATGTCTTTCACCTCCACGCCGGTTTCGTCAACCTGGAGGAGAAACAGAGCCCAGGATTGGTGCCAGTTCCAAGCCTGGCACGGGCTGGGATTGGACTGGAAGCCAGGAGGCCAGGCCTGCACTGGCAACACGGCCAGGGTAGGACTCTGTGCTCTCCCTTTGCATGGAAGAAGGAGAGGAATTTATGGATGAACCCAAAGCACGGCCCCACTGAGAGGCTGGGGAAGGCCTTACCTCCTCTTCCTCACTCTCCTCCTGCACGGTGGGGGTCTGTGTGTTTTCCTGGATGTTGGAAACAGGTTCTCCTTGCACTTTGAACTTTTCGGCAGCTGCCAGCTGAGCCTGCTGGGACAGGTCTTCGATCTGCAGGAGGGAAGGGAAGGGAAGGAGCAGTGAGGCCAGTCCTGGGCAGTGCCAGCACGCTCCCTGGCAGGAGCCACACGGTGCACAGGTGACAGGAAGGAACCCTGCCCTGCTGGCACCAGGGTGGGCTCACCTTGGCCTCGCCAAAGACGATGTAGGTGTCTGACGCCGGGCTCTTGTACACGTCTGGCTTTGTGATGACAAAGAGGATGTTCTTGGATTTCCGGATGGTGACTCTGGTGACTCCTGTCACCTGGCGAAGGCCCAGCTTGGACATTGCCTGAAAAACACCAGGGAAAGGTCAGTGAGGCAAGAAGAGCTCTGGGGCCAGCCCAGATGTGCCAACTCCTCTCTCCAAAATCCCAGATCCCACATTTGCTGCATGGATACACACGGAAATGTGCATCTGCTGCCACAGAGCAGCACTCCCGGGCTGCCAGCTGCAGGGAACACTCCAATCCAGGCCTGGTGAGATCCCCAGCGTGACTCGGAGCCCTGGGGCTGCTCACCAGGGACAGGAGCAGCCTCACCTTGCGAGCTTTCTTCTCGCTCCGGCTCTGTTTTGCTTTGCTGACGGGTTCTTCATCTATTTCGGCTGCTGCCGCGAGCTGCAGGGAGGGAAAACCAGAGGGATCCGTGACAATGCTGGGTGACACCACAGGGACTCCTGACAATGCTGGGTGACACCACAGGGACTCTGATCCACCGTGTGCCACCTGCCCTACCTGTGCCTGCTGCGTCGTGGCCTGTGTGGAGTCCTGCTCTTCGAGCTCTGGTACGGATTCATCGCTGTCAGACTCTGTGCCAGACCCTGCAGAGACACACACCCCTCACTCTTCCCACCTCAGGTAGATCCAGGGCACACTGGGTTGCTGCTGGTTCCCAGTGAAGCCACCAGTCAGCCCAGTTAGGTGGTGGCTGGAGCATTCCTTGCACTCTGAATGCCAGCAGCAGGGTGGCACAAGTGGGTCCTCAGCCTTGCCATGGTGGGAGCCAGGTGCCAGAGCCCCACAGGTGCCCACCCGGAGGCTCTGGAATGAATCCTGAGGTAGCTCCAGCCTGTGGCACCAGCTCGAGGAGGAGGTGGGTGGCATTCCCAGGGTGCTGAGGTGGCAGCAGCCCAGTGTGACAGGACCATTCTGGACTCCTCTCAAACCCAGAGCTGGCACACGGCACCGAGCCCCCACTCACTCAGCCCCCAGGGCTGCTGCACACCCGTGGCTTCACCACAGGGATGATCTGGGATAACCCCAAACCCCCCTCAGGGGACAGCACCTCTGGGTGCCCAGAGGGCCACCAACTGCAGCTGGTCACAGCACTGACCACACCAGCTATTGAAGCAGAGCTAGGTGTCCCCACCCTCACCTGGAGGTGACCCTGATGCTCCCGTGCAGCCATTACCTGGATTCAGTCCTCTGTATCCACAGCACACAGGAGCCCTGGCAAACCTCTCTGCAGGTGTCAGGGTGTGCCAACACTTCAGGCATAGCGTGGAGACAACCCAGTTTGGCACCAACACTTGCCCACATCCCCCGCCAGCCGGCCACCACACACAGCAGGGCCGGGCACGTGGCATCTCCTCCGTGTGAAGCCAGCTCATCTCGCAGTGCCCATGCCACAAACCACAAAAAAACCACAAAAAAACCACACCGTGCTCCGTGCCCGAGCACACGCGTTAGTGACCGCCGGCACCGTGCCGAGCCCCGTCCCTCCCCGTGCTGCCCGGTTCACCGGGGCCCCGGGCGCGGTTAGTACCCCGTGGGCAGCCAGTGACACTCCATGCACACGGCAGGATGCAAATACCCTTGTCATTCTTGAGGACGGGCTGCGGTGCCAGGGGGGTTGGGACCCCCGTGGCAGGGGACAGCTCCAGCAGCACGGGTGGCTCGGGGGGGAGCAGAGGTGGCAGGTCCTCGTCGTCAGCGCCGGGCGCGGCTTTCGAGGGGGGGCGAGTGGCTGGTTTGGCCACCTTGTTATTGGGGAGGGGCTGCTGCTGCTTTTTCGCAGGGGTTGGGGGTTTTGGGGGGGCACCAGAAATGCCCGTGGCTGGGGCAGGAGCTGGGGTTGTGGCTGGAGCTGCTGTGGCTTTGACAGGGCTTTTTGGGGGTGCCTTGGCATCAGCAGGGGTGGCTGGAGGAGGAGTGGCTTTGACAGGGCTCTTTGGGGGTGCCTTGGCCTCAGCAGGGCTTTTTGAGGCTCCTTTGGCTGCAGCAGGAGCTGCTGGAGCTGGAGTGGCTTTGGCAGGGCTCTTTGGGGGTGTTTTTGCAGCTGGAGGGGCACTGGGAGCTGGGGTGGCTGTAGCAGGACTCTTGGGAGGCACTTGGGCAGGAGCCGGAGGTGTTTTGGCCTCAGCAGGGGTGGCTGGAGCTGGGGTGGCTTTGGCAGGGCTCTTTGGGGGTGTTTTGGCCTCAGGAGAGGGTGGGGTGGCTTTGGCAGGGCTCTTTGGGGGTGTTTTGGCCTCAGGAGAGGCTGGGGTGGCTTTGTCAGGGCTCTTTGGGGGTGTCTTAGCCTCAGGAGAGGGTGGGGTGGTTTTGGCAGGGCTCTTTGGGGGTGTTTTGGCCTCAGGAGAGGCTGGGGTGGCTTTGGCAGGGCTCTTTGGGGGTGTTTTGGCTGCTGGAGGAGCAGCTGGAGCTGGGGTGGCTGTAATGGGGCTTTCTGGGGGTGCTTTGGCCTCAGCAGGGGCAGCTTTGTCAGGGCTCTTTGGGGGTGTTTTGGCCTCAGCAGGGGTTGGGGTGGCTTTGTCAGGGCTCTTTGGGGGTGCCTTGGCCTCAGCAGGGGCAGCTGAAGGTGCTGGAGCCACAGGAGTAGAGGAGGCAGTGATGGGGCTGCCTTTGGGAGACTTTTTGGCTGCTCCAGGGGAAGCTGGAGCTGGGCTGGCTTTGGGGGTGCAGCTGGAGCTGGTGGAGCTGCAGGAGCTGGGGTGGCAGGGGATGGGGTGGCAGCACCAGGGCTCTTGGGGGCACTTTTGGCTGCAGGTGGGGTGGCTGGAGGTGGGGTGGGAGGAGTTGGAGGGGCAGCTGAGGCAGCAACAGAGCCCTTGGCAGCATCTTTGGCTGAGGGAGGGGCAGCTGGAGAGGGTGGAGCTGCAGTGGCTGGTGTGACAGGGGCACAGGGGACAGTGGCTGAACTCGGGGGAGCTGGTTTGGCCACAGGAGGGGTGGCCACAGGTGCCACTGGTGGTGTGACAGGGGCACAGGGGACAGTGACCGGGCTCCCAGGAGCTGCTTTGCCTGCAGGAGGGGCAGCTGGAGCTGCCACGGGTGGTGAGACAGGGACAGCAGGAGATGTCTTAGCCACAGGAGGGATGGCCAGAGGTGCCATGGGTGGTGTGACAGGGACAGAGGGGGCAGCTGGGGCAGTAACTGGGCTCCCAGGAGCTGGTTTGGTAGCAGGAGGGGCAGCTGGAGCTGCCATGGGTGGTGTGACAGGGGCAGCAGCTGGACTTGGAGGAGCTGCTTTGGCTGCAGGAGGGGTGGCTGGAGCTGCCATGGCCAGAGTGACAGGGGGACAGCTGGCAGAGGGGACAGCAGGCACAGGAGCTGCTGCTGGGAGCACAGGGCTCGCTGGAGACCCTGGGACAGAGATGGCAGCTCCCAGTGCAGGTGTGGACAGGGCAGGAAGCACTGCAGCTCCTGCTGCCTGAGGGGCTGGGCTCCCAGGGGGGGTCCTTGTCACCGAGGGAGGGACAGGATGTCCCACAGCTGGGGGACAGGCCTTGGAAACAGAAGGAGCAACTGGGAGCAGTGGTGAGACTGGGGCACCAGGGGCTGGGCCAGCAGCAGGATGCCCAGGGGACATCCCAGCTGCCAGCAGAGGGATAGGGGGTGACAAGGGAGCTTTGGGGGCAGCCAGGAAGACAGGGGGAGAGATGGCACCCACCAGGGTTGGAGCTGGGGCTCGGGGAGAGGCTGGAACAGCAGGAGTTCCAGGAGACACTGTGGGAAGTGGGGGTGATCCTGGACTCTGGGGGGACACTGCCACCGTGGGAGCAGGCAGCAAGGTGGGGGGCACTGGTGGGGGAGATGCCAGAAGGGGACGGGATGGGGGAGGCAGGAGAGGGGCTGGGGCTGCTCCAGAGGAAGGGAAAGGAGCTGGGGCTGCTCCAGAGGCAGGGAGAGGGGCTGGGGCTGCTCCAGAGGAAGGGAAAGGAGCTGGGGCTGCTCCAGAGGCAGGGGGAGGGGCTGGGGCTGCTCCAGAGGAAGGGAAAGGAGCTGGGGCTGCGGCTGCTCCAGAGGCAGGGAGAGGGGCTGGGGCTGCTCCCACAGAGGCTGCAGCAGGAGCAGTTTTCATGGGAGAGGTGAGAGCAGCTGGGAGAGAACTGGGGCTCGCTGGGGGGACAAGAGGGGCCACTGTCACTGCAGCAGAAGCAGCAGCCAGGCCAGGTGACACTGGAGCTGGGAATCCTGGGGACACTGGGCTAACTGGGGCAGGCCCTGGAGATCCTGGGGCTGCAAAACCCACGGGGGCCTGCGGAGCTGGAGGAGGGGCAGCGGTGACTGGGCCCAGCAGAGGTGGGGCAGGGGGCTGGAGGGGCATGGAGAACACGGGGATGGCTGCAGCTGGGACCACGGGGGGGGACATGGGGCCTGGGGGGCCTGGCAGAGCCGGGGCAGTGCTGGGCAGCTGTGCCTGGGCAGATGGAGATGGAGTCAGAGGTGGGGAATGAGCAGCATGAAGAACAGCTAAAGGAGAGAAACAGAGTGAGCCATGAGAGGAGGGAAGGAGACACAGGGAGGGGGCATGAGGCCAGCCCTGGCATTCCTCTGGCCTCTGTGCCTGGCTTCTGGCCCAGCAGGCACTGCCAGGGTCAGCACGGAGCAGGATGTTCATCCCCTTCTGGAACACAATTTTCCTGAGAGCCCTGAATGGCAGGAGGCACTCCCTGAACCACCAGGAAGCCCCAGCAGGCCAGGGATGCAGGGATCCAGCTCTGCCCTACCAAAGGGGCTGTCACAACTCCTGTGGAGCCCCAAAAGTCTGTCAGGACACCCAGGGCTTCTCACGAGCCTGGGGTCACCCCCTGAGCTGCAGGGAGCAAGGGGGAACAAACACCCACCCAAGAAGAGGAAGGGAAAGTCAAATAAAACCCACAGGCATGTGGAATTATTCCTGGAGTGCCCTGGGAGCCCCCTCCCTCCAGCTGTGGGTGACATGGGCAGATGCCCTGAGGGCACAACGACATGGGGGTGGTGGGGCCAGGCCCCCCAGTTCCCCCCAGTTCCCTTGGAGCTGTTAGGGTTAATGGAATGCAACCCCCAGAATGGCACACGCTGGTTAATGTGGCACACGAGGGGTTACAGGAGTACCTGGAGCAGGGATGGGAGCAGCAACGGGGGCAGCTGGAGCTGAACAGGGAGAACAACAGTTCATTAAAGCAAGTCCCACTGACCAGGAGCAGCTTCCAGCTCCCCAGCCCGGTCCAAGAGAGCCTGGAGAGAGCCTGGAGAGAGCCTGAGCCAGCCCAACTCCAGCTGCTGAGCCAAGGGCACTGCTCAGGCCACAGGCCATGCCAGGGCTGAGCTTCCAGCTCCTGAGCCAGAGCTGAGAGCCTCGAGAGAGCTCTGGAGAGAGCCCTGGAGAGACATTCCCAATGCCAACCAACAATCAAAGGGCACTGTTTAGGGAAGAGGCCATGAGAGGGTTCAGCTTCCAGCTCCTGAGCCAGAGCTGAGAGCCTCGAGAGAGCTCTGGAGAGAGCCCTGGAGAGACATTCCCAAAGAATTTCCCAATGCCAACCAATAATCAAAGGGCCCTGTTTAGGGAATAGGCCATGAGAGGGTTCAGCTCCCAGCTCCTGAGAGCCTGGAGAGACATTCCCAAAGAATTTCCCAATGCCAACCAATAATCAAAGGGCCCTGTTTAGGGAATAGGCCATGAGAGGGTTCAGCTCCCAGCTCCTGAGAGCCTGGAGAGACATTCCCAAAGAATTTCCCAATGCCAACCAATAATCAAAGGGCACTGTTTAGGGAAGAGGCCATGCCAGGGCTGAGCTTCCAGTTCCTGACCAGAGCTGAGAGCCTGGAGAGACATTCCCAATGAATTTCCCAATGCCAACCAATAATCAAAGGGCACTGTTTAGGGAATAGGCCATGAGAGGGTTCAGCTCCCAGCTCCTGAGAGCCTGCAGAGAGCCCTGACATTCCCAGTGATATTCCCAATTAAATTCCCAATGCCAACCAGCAATCAACCAGCAATCTTTCCACTTAGGGAAGAGTCCATGCCAGGGCTGAGCTTCCAGCCCCTGACCAGAGCTGAGAGCCTGGAGAGAGCTCTGGAGAGACATTCCCAATGAAATTCCCAGTGCCAACCAGCAATCAAGGGGCACCATTTAGTGAACAGACCATGAGAGGGTTCAGCTTCTAGCTCCTGAGAGAGCCTGCAGAGAGCCCTGACATTCCCAGTGATATTCCCAATGAAATTCCCAATGCCAACCAGCAACCAAAGGGCACCATTTAGTGAAGAGGCCATGCCAGGGCTGAGCTTCCAGTTCCTGACCAGAGCTGAGAGCCTGGAGAGACATTCCCAATGAATTTCCCAATGCCAACCAATAATCAAAGGGCACTGTTTAGGGAACAGGCCATGAGAGGGTTCAGCTCCCAGCTCCTGAGAGCCTGGAGAAAGCCGTGGAGAAACATTCCCAAAGAAATTCCAACCAGCAACCAAAGGGCACCATTTAGGGAAGAGGCCATGCCAGGGCTGAACTTCCAGCTCCTGACCAGAGCTGAGAGCCTGGAGAGAGCCTGGAGAGACATTCCCAATGCCAACCAGCAATCAAGGGGCACCATTCAGTGAACAGGCCATGAGAGGGTTCAGCTCCCAGCTCCTGAAGGCTGCAGAGCCCTGACATTCCCAGTGTCACTCCCAGCGGAGATCCAGGGCAGGGAAGAGCCCAGCAGAGCCGGGCAGGGCAGTGCTGGTCCAACCAGCAGAACCAGCCCGGGCACGGTGCCGCCCTGGGGAGCTGCAGGGCCCGGAGCCAGCCCCATTCCATGGATCCTGTCCCTCCCAGGGGCTGTGTCCCTGTCCCACCCTGGGATCAGGCGTGTCCTGGTCCTGCTGCCACCCACGGAAGGCAGGGAACCACATCCCTGTCCCTGCCCCAGGAATGGGGTCCTGAAAAGCGCTGCTAATGCCCCATTTTACCCCAAACCACGGCTCTGTGGGAAGGATGGGAGCTGGACAGCAGTGCCAGCGGGTGCCAGGACATTTCCTGCTCCAAGGAACGTCCTGGTGCCTCCCAAAGGAGCAGCAAGTGCTGCCAAGGGCACGGAACAGGCCGTGCAGAGCAACCCCTTCCAGAACAATCCTTTATCCCTGCTCTCCCTGTTCCTTCTGAGCACATTCCTGATCAACACAATCATTCCTGCTTCTCCCCCACAGCCCCACCTTTCTTTGGGTCCTTCTCAAACATCCCAAGCTAAGGGATTCCCCAAAACCAGGGGATTTCTGCCCAAAACCCCTCTGGATCAGCGTGCACCAGCCTCACATCTCCAGGGTTTTTCCAGAGACTTCCAAGGAAGGAGATGGAAATCCAAGGAGCTGCCTGAGGAATCCCACGAGCAGCAGAATTTTGGGAGCTGTCAGTTGAGAGGGACAGGAGAGCCATTCCAGGGAAAGGGCCCCAAAGAGGAATTCCAGCTACGCCGGGAGGGATAAGGAGCTCAGCAGCTCCTGGGAATCATCGGTGCAGCTGTCACAGCAACAGCCATCACTCAGCTCCCTCCTTGTGTCCCCTCTCTGTCACCAAGCCTCAGTGGGGGGTCCCCAATGGGACAGTGCCCACATCCTGAGAGAGACCCCCAAATCCAAGCGGGCAGATCCCAAAAATTCAGTGAGAGACCCCCAAATCCAAGCGGGCAGATCCCAAAAATTCAGTGAGAGACCCCCAAATCCAAGCGGGCAGATCCCAAAAATTCAGTGAGAGACCCCCAAATCCAAGCGGGCAGATCCCAAAAATTCAGTGAGAGACCCCCAAATCCAACATTCCCAATGAATTTCCCAATGCCAACCAATAATCAAAGGGCACTGTTTAGGGAACAGGCCATGAGAGGGTTCAGCTCCCAGCTCCTGAGAGCCTGGAGAAAGCCGTGGAGAAACATTCCCAAAGAAATTCCAACCAGCAACCAAAGGGCACCATTTAGGGAAGAGGCCATGCCAGGGCTGAACTTCCAGCTCCTGACCAGAGCTGAGAGGCTGGAGAGAGCCTGGAGAGACATTCCCAATGCCAACCAGCAATCAAGGGGCACCATTCAGTGAACAGGCCATGAGAGGGTTCAGCTCCCAGCTCCTGAAGGCTGCAGAGCCCTGACATTCCCAGTGTCACTCCCAGCGGAGATCCAGGGCAGGGAAGAGCCCAGCAGAGCCGGGCAGGGCAGTGCTGGTCCAACCAGCAGAACCAGCCCGGGCACGGTGCCGCCCTGGGGAGCTGCAGGGCCCGGAGCCAGCCCCATTCCATGGATCCTGTCCCTCCCAGGGGCTGTGTCCCTGTCCCACCCTGGGATCAGGCGTGTCCTGGTCCTGCTGCCACCCACGGAATGCAGGGAATGACATCCCTGTCCCTGCCCCAGGAATGGGGTCCTGAAAAGCACTGCTAATGCCCCATTTTACCCCAAACCACGGCTCTGTGGGAAGGATGGGAGCTGGACAGCAGTGCCAGCGGGTGCCAGGACATTTCCTGCTCCAAGGAACGTCCTGGTGCCTCCCAAAGGAGCAGCAAGTGCTGCCAAGGGCACGGAACAGGCCGTGCAGAGCAACCCCTTCCAGAACAATCCTTTATCCCTGCTCTCCCTGTTCCTTCTGAGCACATTCCTGATCAACACAATCATTCCTGCTTCTCCCCCACAGCCCCACCTTTCTTTGGGTCCTTCTCAAACATCCCAAGCTAAGGGATTCCCCAAAACCAGGGGATTTCTGCCCAAAACCCCTCTGGATCAGCGTGCACCAGCCTCACATCTCCAGGGTTTTTCCAGAGACTTCCAAGGAAGGAGATGGAAATCCAAGGAGCTGCCTGAGGAATCCCACGAGCAGCAGAATTTTGGGAGCTGTCAGTTGAGAGGGACAGGAGAGCCATTCCAGGGAAAGGGCCCCAAAGAGGAATTCCAGCTACGCCGGGAGGGATAAGGAGCTCAGCAGCTCCTGGGAATCATCGGTGCAGCTGTCACAGCAACAGCCATCACTCAGCTCCCTCCTTGTGTCCCCTCTCTGTCACCAAGCCTCAGTGGGGGGTCCCCAATGGGACAGTGCCCACATCCTGTGAGAGACCCCCAAATCCAAGCGGGCAGATCCCAAAAATTCAGTGAGAGACCCCCAAATGCAATGGGGCAAACCCCCAAAATTCAGTGAGAGACCCCCAAATCCAGTGGGGCAAACCCCCAAAATTCAGTGAGAGACCCCCAAATCCAACAGGGCAGATTCCAAAAATTCAGTGACAGACTCCCAAATCCAACAAGACAGATGTCCAAAATTCAATGAAAGACCCCCAAATTCAATGGGACAGACCCCCAAATCCAGAGGGATACACCCCCAAATCCAAAGGGACAAATCCCCAAAATTCAATGAAATATCTCAAATCCAAAGGGGAGACCCCCCAAAATTCAGTGAGAGACCCCCAAGTTTAATGGGGCAGACCCTCAAGTCCAGCAGGACAGGACCCCAAATCCAAGGGGACAGGATCCCAAATCCCACAGGACAGGACCCCAAATCCAAGGGGACAGGATCCCAAATCCCACAGGACAGGACCCCAAATCCAGTGGGACAGGATCCCAAATCCAAGGGGATAGGCCCCCAAGTTCAGTGGCACACGTCCCCAAATCCCATAGGACAAGATCCCAAATGACACCAAATCCAAGGCGACAGGTCCCCAAATCCCACAGGACACGTCCCCAAATCCAGTGGGACAGGATCCCAAATCCAACGACACAGGACCCCAAATCCAGTGGGACAGGATCCCAAATCCAGTGGGACAGGATCCCAAATCCAAGGGGACAGGATCACAAATCCAACGACACAGGTCCCCAAATCCAACGACACAGGTCCCCAAATCCAGTGGGACAGGCCCCCAAGTTCAGTGGCACACGTCCCCAAATCCCACAGGACAGGAACCCAAATCCAATGGGACAGGACCCCAAAACCCACAGGACAAGACCCCCAACCCAACACCCCGACCTGGCCACGGCCGCTGCCCTCCCCTCCCACCCAAACCGAGCTCGGAGCCACCCCCGGTCCCGGTCCCGGGACTTTGGGACACGACGAGTCCTCGCTCCGCTGTCTCCGGTCCCGTTCTCCGCGGGAACCACAGAACCGGCCCGGTTTGTTTGGCCACACCGAGACCACGGAACGGACACCCCAAAACCCCCGCGGGGGACGTGACAAGACTCAAACCGGGGTCACACAACCCCCGCCGCCACCGGCTCCCGGCCCGGTGAGGGAATCCCGGGAATCACCCCCAAAACCGCCCCGGAGCACCCCCCGGGCCTCACCTGTCTCCGCCTGCGGCTGCGGCAGCTCCTGCTCCGTGGCCGGGACGGTTTCTGTGGCTTCGCCGGGCATTTCTACGGGAATGGACAAACCGACAGGCCCGGGCTCGCCGGGGCTCCGGGACAGCCCGGGGGCCACCGCCGGTAACTCGTCCTGCCCACCCCGCTGGGACACCGCGCGCCTCCCACTACCGGGAGGATCTACCGACACAGCTCGGCCGTACGGCACAGGCAGAGCCCGATCCCGCTCCCGGTCCCGGGCCTAGGCCGCCTCCTCCCCCCCCTCCGCCGGTGCGCGGGGCCGCCCCCTCTGCCCTGCCCGGCGCGCCCACGACCCCATCGATGGCCTCAACCGGGTCCTCCCGGCCACCCGCTCATCCCGCTAGCGGTGAGCGGCGCTCTGAGCGGCGGATGGCGGTGGATGGCGGCGGATGGCGGCGCGGGACTCACTGTGCGGGGAGCGGGGCCCAAGATGGCGGCGGAAAGAGACCGAGAGGGCAGCGCGACTTCCGGGAGCGCGGGACTTCCGGGGCAGGGGGAGAAGCCGGCAACACGGTCCGGCCCGGCCCCCGCGGCCGCGCTCCGGCGTTCCGGGCTCTGCTCGGGCCCCACCGTGGGAGCGGGGAGACCCCGGGGGGGGATGGGGTCCCGGGGAGGCGGGGGGTCCAGGCAGGGTTAGGGGGTCCAGGCACGATTAGGGGGTCAGGACAGGGTTTTAGGGGGTCAGGCAGGGGGTCCAGGCAGGATTAGGGGGTCCAGGCATGGTTGGGGGTCAGGTCCAGGCATGGTTGGGGGCAGCGACCCCACACTGCAGAGCAGGGACCCCCCCCACCCTCCTCAGCAGCCCCCAGCACAAAGCTGAGCAGAAACATTTAATGGTTTTTGTGTAGAAAACAGTACAAAAGGTACAAAAACGGGGGGCCCGAGGGGTTTGGCTGCCCCATGGGACCCCCCAGGGCCAGGGGAGGTGACAGTGACAGCACAGGAGACACTGGCAGTGCCAAGGGCTCAGAAATCTCCTTGGAGATCTGCAAAAAAAGGAGAAATGGGGAGGTTTTGTGAAGGTTTTTACAGAAAAAATAAATGTCACAGCAACAGCCATCGCTCAGCTCCTTCCTCGTGTCCCTGCCTGTCACCTCGTGGTCCCAGGTCTGATGGGACAGACCCCAAATCCAAAGGGACAGACCCCAAAATTCTGTGAGAGACCCCCAAACCCAATGGGAGACCCCAAATCCAATGGGACAGACACCCAAAATTCAATTAAAGACCCCCAAATCCTACAGGGCAGACCCCAAACCCAATGAGAGACCCCCAAATCCAATGGGAGACCCCAAATCCAGAGGGACAGAACCCAAATCCAATGGGACAGACACCCAAAATTCAATTAAAGACCCCCAAATCCTACAGGGCAGACCCCAAACCCAATGAGAGACCCCCAAATCCAATGGGAGACCCCCAATCCAGAGGGACAGAACCCAAATCCAATGGGACAGGCCCCTAGATCCCACAGGGCAGACCCCCAAAATTCAATTAAAGACCCCCAAATCCAGCAGGACAGACCCCCAAAATTCTGTGAGAGACCCCCAAATCTAATGGGAGGCCCCCAAATCCAATGGGACAGACCCCTAGATCCCACAGGGCAGACCCCCAAAATTCAGTGAGAGACCCCTAAATCCAATGGGACAGACCCCTAGATCCCACAGGGCAGACCCCCAAAATTCAGTGAGAGACCCCTAAATCCAATGGGACAGACCCCTAGATCCCACAGGGCAGACCCCCAAAATTCAGTGAGAGACCCCTAAATCCAATGGGACAGACCCCTAGATCCCACAGGGCAGACCCCCAAAATTCAGTGAGAGACCCCTAAATCCAATGGGACAGACCCCTAGATCCCACAGGGCAGACCCCCAAAATTCAATTAAAGACCCCCAAATCCTACAGGGCAGACCCCAAACCCAACGAGAGACCCCCAAATCCAACAAGGCAGACCCCAAACCCAACAAGAGACCCCTAAATCCAATGGGACAGACCCCAAATCCAAAGTGACAGCCCCCAAAATTCAATTAAAGACCCCCAAATCCTACAGGGCAGACCCCAAACCCAACGAGAGACCCCCAAATCCAACAAGGCAGACCCCAAACCCAACAAGAGACCCCTAAATCCAATGGGACAGACCCCTAGATCCCACAGGGCAGACCCCCAAAATTCAATGAGAAACCCCCAAAATCCAAAGGGACAGATCTCAAACCCAATGAGAAACCCCCAAATCTAGCGGGGCAGACCCCCAAAATTCAGTGAGAGACCCCCAAATCCAAAGGGACAGACCCCAAATCCAACAGGGCAGACCCCAAATCCAACGAGAAACCTCCAAATCCAGTGGGGCAGACCCCAAATCCAATGGGACAGACCCCAGAATTCAGTGAGAGACCCCCAAATCCAATGGGACAGACCCCAAATCCAGCAGGGCAGACCCCAAAATTCAGTGAGAGACCCCCAAATCCAATGGGACAGACCCCAAATCCAGCAGGGCAGACCTCCAAAATTCAATTAAAGACCCCCAAATCCAACGGGACAGACCCCAAATCCTACAGGGCAGACCCCAAATCCAACGAGAGGCCCCCAAATCCAGCAAGGGCAGACCCCACATCCCACAGGAGACCCCCAAACCCGCTGCCAGAGGCAGGAGGCCCCTCCTGGGGGGCTTTTTGGGGTCCCCACCGCTGCGGCGGATGCGCTCTCCCCGCCGGGCGCTCTCCATGCCCTCCACAAACTGCTCCAGCAGCCGCACGTACGGGGCCAGGCTCGTCCTGCGGTAGTCTGGGGGTGTGGGGAGCGGCTGCTGGGACCCCAAAACCCCAACCCCGACCCCAAAACCCCATCCCTGAGCCCCAAACACCCCCAAAACCCCATCCCTGACCCCAAAACCACAACCCTGAGCCCCAAACCCTGACCCCAAAACCCCATCCCTGACCCCAAAACCCCAACCCTGAGCCCCAAACACCCCCAAAACACCATCCCTGACCCCAAAACCCTATCCCTGACCCCCAAAACACCCTCCCCGACCCCAAAACCACAACCTTGACACCCAATCCCGAACCCTAACCCCCAAAACCACAGCCCTGACCCCAAAACCACAACCCTGAACTCCAAACCCCATCCCCGATCCCCAAAACCTTGTCCCCGACACCAAAACCCCAACCTTGACACCCAATCCCCAGCCCTAACCCCCAAAACCACAGCTCCGACCCCAAAACCCCATCCCTGACCCCCAAAACCCCATCCCCGACCCCAAAACCCCAACCTTGATCCTCAATCCCCGACCCTAACCTCCAAAACTCCAACCTTGACCCCCAAATGCCATCTCTGACCCCAAACCCCATCCCTGAGCCCCAAAACCCCATCCCCGATCCCAAAC